CAGCCAATGTGATTGTCTGGATTTTTTTTCTCATTTTGTCTCTCATAGTTGACGTCTACCTATGATGCCAATTACAGGCCTCTCTCATCTTTTTAAGTGGGAGAACTTGCACAATTGGTGGCTGACTAAATACTTTTTTGACCCACTGTAAATCCTGTATAATAATAATAATAATAATAATAATAAAAAAAAGCAGTATTAAACCAAAAAACAAAAAAAGTATTAAATTGCAGCTTACCAATTCTTAGATGTGGTGGCTGAATTTTTTTTTTTTTTTTTTTTTCCCTAGTGATTCAGCCAGTAAGTCTGTTACTTTACCAGACAAAGCTGTCCAGACAAGGCAGCATTTAGCTTGAGATATACTATTTAACTCTGAGAGGGGTGCTTACAATGATCAGCCTTTATTCATTTATGTAAAATCTTTATCCCAAAAGAAAAAAGAGGTTTGTTGTAAATGCTTATAAAAGTGTTAGTGAGAGTTCAGTTTTAATTTTTTAGTCAAATACATATAAATCTTCTAGTCTAAACCTAACCATACATGGGTCATATTTTTTTTGTTCAGCCATTGGTTTGAAAGAAAGAAAAAAAAAAAAAAAACCGGACCAGATTTCCCCATCAACACATTCGATTTGGATGCGGGAATCCTCTCTGCTGTGTCATTGTATTCTAACAGCAGGACTCCGCTACAATCAGAATACACTGATCAGTGCTACAGCAGGACTGTTTATGAGAAGTTGATCAATAGATCAACTTCTCATGAACTGGAATGGCCACTGATGGATTGAAATTCCTGCTGAACCAACCACATTTTGATCCATGTATGGCCAGCTTAACACTTTCCTCTGCCCACACTGACAATACTGCTGTCCAGGGGTGTCTGCTTTACTTCCAGAATGCAGATACACTAAAGACAAGAAGTGTTTACTGGCTGGATCACCAGCTGAAATAAATAAAATAAAGCCCAAAAAAAGAAAACTAACAGAGCCACCACATCTAATTAGTGAGTTGCAATATATTACATTTTTGGTTTTGGGTTTAATACTGCTTTAAGTCAGTTGACAAGCATACCTTTCATTTGTATCTTGCAGTGAGAAATCAGATATCCCTTTAAGTTTAATGCATTCTAAATTACATTTAAAGTGGAACTAAACCCTCTTATTTTTTTCCTTTACAGCCAAGGAAACTCATCTTGCTAGTGATCAACTATGATACCAGTCATTTGATGGCTTGACAGTTCAGTTGAGAGCACAAGCACGAGTGTTGCTATTCACAGTATGCCTTGAATGTAACGGTTTTGGGAAACCTTTAAATTGATGGGTTTAGTTCTGTTTTAAAAAGGACCTGAACTGTTGAAGCTGTGCCCTCAAAAGGCAAGCAGAGGTAAAAAACCAGTTAACAATAATCAGCTGTGAAGCTATTCTCCCCCCCCCCCCCCCCATTACGAACTTACCATGCCTTGTTCTGTGTGGAGGTGGTTGTCTTGCTGGGAGAAGGTTGCCCCTTTCTCATGTCAGAGCTGCCCCCCAATGAATAGTGATCTGATGGAAAGATATTCAAAAAGCAGTAGAGCTGCAGAAGTCATAGATCCACAGATGAATAAATTAATGAAAATCGAGGAGATCCTTACACCGCAGATCCTTAGGTACAGATTCCTCTCCAGCATAAAGAACAGTAAGTGCCGTTCTATTTTTCAAGAGGCATTCAAGACAAAAAAATATATATTTTGCTTTTAGTGACACTTTAACTTATCAAAATTTTCCCTATATCACAGCAAATCTTCACTCAGCTCAGGTCCACTTTAACCATTAGCCGCCCGGCCAATAGCCGTTTGGCGGCTTGAAAAGCGCTGCAGCTTTCCGGGTCCACGCCATTTGGCGTGCTCCCGCACATGCGCCGTTTGCGCTATTGCAGAGCGGCGCAGCAGCGGGATCTGTCACCGCCCGTGCACCTCGGACACGGCCGATGACAGATCCGAGTACCGGCTCCCGTTGCCGGTACCATGTGACCTGCCGCGACCAATCACAGCAGGTCACATGACAGTTGTATACAATGGATGGCTTCATTCATGATGCCATCCATTGTATACTAGTGCCTAGCTGTGAATGGTCACAGCTAATCACATGCACATGTCATGTGATTAGCTGTGACCAAATCACAGCTAAGCACAAAAAAAAAAAAAAAAAAAAAAAAAAAAAAAAAGCTGAATGAATCGATTTCATTCAGCTAAATGCTTGCTTATAGCAAAGTAATTCTTTGCTATAAGCAAATTGTGTAAAAAAAAAAAAAAAAAAAAATACTGATCACTTCCCCAAAGTAGTACAATGTTACTATGGTAACATTGTACTATTTTGGTCATAGTAAAATATGAAAAAAAAATCTTAAAAAAAAAAAAAAAAATGTAATAAAAAATTAAATATAATAAAAAAATAAAAAAAAATTAAAAAAAATATAATTTTTTTTTTTTTTCATACTGTCACCAGTCAGTGTCCCTGTTCACCGCCATGCCAGTTATATGATGACGCTGTACTGCACTGGTGACAGTATGTAAAAAAAAAAATAGTGAAAATAATATTTTTCATTTTTTCATTTTCGGAAAAATTATGACAAAAAAATACAACTTCAAAAAACTCGCCATGCCTCTTATGAAGTACGTCCGACTGTCTACTCAGCAAAAAAGGGGTCATTTGGGGATATCTGTACTATTCTGACATTCTTGGACCTCAAGAAATTAGATTGGCTGTCAGTACTTCAGGATTGATCAATATTCAGATCTATACCATAGTTTGTGAACTCTATAACTTTCCTACAAACTAAATAATACATCCTAATTTGGGTTATTTTCACCAAAGACATGTAGCAGAATACATCTCGGCCTAAATTTATGAAGAACAATTATTTATTTGTAAACTTTTATAACAGAAACAAAGAAAAATGTGTTTTTTTTTTCAAAATTTTTGGTCTTTTTTTGTTAATTTAGCAAAAAATAAAAACCCCAGCGGTGATTAAATACCACCAAAAGAAAGCTCTAGTTGTGTGAAGAAAATGATAAAATTTTAGTTTGGGTACAATGTTGTATGACTGCGCAATTGTCATTCAAAGTGTGAGAGAGCGCTGAAACCTGAAAAATGGCCTGGGCAGGAAGGTGTAAAATTGCACGGTATTGAAACGGTTAATAGGACATTATGAAATGTTGTCATATTTGTTTACAGTAACATCATTTTAACAATTACAACAGATACTCATTTTTAATATAAAGTACATGTATTTGTGATGCAAGTTAATCCATTGTATGTATGGACAGAGGTTAATCCTATTTTTGACATTTTAGTTGAAGTTTGATCTTTTATTCCAACATATTCATAAGGCCTTGTTGTCTTTGCTCCATACAGATCTACGGCAAACTTCTTGTTACTCATGCCTTTAAGAATATTTTTTTAGCAGCAAATCAACAATGCCTTAAAGTAGAACTATGGGCAAAATGTTTTTTCCCCATTTTGGATAAAGTAAGGGAGGGCTATAAACTCCTATCAGTTTATTTGCCATCTGTGTCCCGTCGGAGAGATCTCCCTTCACTTCTTGTCTCATAGCCAAAACAGGCTGTGGGAAAATCACTACAAATTAAGGAGCTCTCTTGGGGCCTCAGGTCATCAGAACTAGTGCCCCTACTGGAGGATTTACCCTCTATTGCTGTTATGGGAGCAACCTAAAATTTGGGATTTTCTTTTACTTTCAAAGATAATGGTAAACAGGACAAATAGGGTGAATCTCCCTAGTGGGGACACTGACAGCAATAAAAATCTGGTGTTCTAATCCCTCTCCACTCTATCCAAAAAAAAAAAAAAAAAAAAGGTTTTGCCTATAGTTATTCTTTAAAGTATATCTAAAGCCAAACCATGTTTCCCTGGTTATAGTAAGGAATGGCTAAAACCACTGTATTTTTCCCCATCGGTGTATTATTAGGGGGATTTCCCTTTATTTCCTGTCTCGTAGATTCAACAGGAAGTGAAAGGTTAGCTTTTCAATGTGAAGGGAAATCCCTTGTTAGACAGTTGTCATAAGAACCCTGTCGGAAGATTTTGCCTCTATTCCTGTTTTGGTGACAACTCAAAGTTTTGGTTTACCCCCTTACCATTATCCCTGGTGAGATTGGTGATCAGGAAAATTAATATTCCTAATGATGAAACAGACAGCAAGAAAACCCTGACATTGGTGCCAACCCCTTACCACTCTATCCAAAGTTCTGTTAGTTGTTGTACTTTATCATTTATCCTCCTGGATAAAAATTAAAAAAAAAAAAAAACCACAAAAACAAACACACACACACACAAAAAGAAGGTTTCCCTATAATGGTTCACACTTCTCTAAAGGCATGTCAAACACAGTCATCGGATTCCCATTTACCTCCTTAGTGCAGTGTGAATGGCAGTTCAAGGTTTTATCTGCTTTGCATCTCTCTGAATGCAGCATGTCCTATTGGACATGTGTATGTATCGCAAGCAAAGTAGGTCAAACGCAGCCTTTTGTGTTCAAACACAAAAGTTTGATAAGCGCCATGTTCAAATGTAGAAGCATCATTTGACAGTGAACCCTGTGTACACGAGCCCCAAATTGAACTGTCATCATGGAATCCCAACACAACATTGGTGTACAGATACTTAACTTTTTTGCAAACCAGTTATACCACTTTCTGGACAGATATTGCGTGGGCAAAAAAAACCCAACAACAAGCCACATTCTCATGGCCAAAAAATAATCACAGTTGGAAGAAAAAAAGTCTTCACTATATAATGAAACTGCATTCTATTTTGGAAATTAACTGTAAACCTGGTGGTACAAATGTTTTATCCTGGCATTCTTGAAGAGTCATCCCTTTAGGTACAGCAGCAACATAAGGCACGGTAATTATGGCCCTTATTGCTTTGGCTTGGTCCATACAGTGGATAAGAATGTTCAGTGATTCAGAAGTCTCTTTGGTCTTTGCTTTTACTAGCTGCAGTTGGTCAGCTTTCGACAGGGCTGTCAGCAGGCAGAACAGATGCATAGCCATGGGTTGACTGTCGAGTGAAAAATGATGCAGCTCTTTTGGGCTTCACTCGTTTAATTTCAGTGCCTGGGGAAAAATAGTTATACATAAATAAATGACAAAAAGCAATGTTCATGCCCACTTGATCAATCACATACAACACTTGAAAGTGTTTAGGTTGCTGGTTCCAGTTACTCCCATGGCTTCACATCTTCAAATAAACACACTTACAGATCAATTGCATGTTTGGGTTAACATGACATACAAAGGATGCCTGCACTTTTAGCAACATGATAGATGTTGTACTTGTATTGTGTTGCTAGGCATCCCCCCCATTTGCCTCCCCCCTCCCCTCTGGGACAGCATACAGCAGGGGTGCTCAACCTTTTGAAGATTGAGGGCCACTTAAGTGATTCGGTACAGAGCCGGATCTAGCCAGTGTGATCTGGGGGTGCAGTAAAAAATATCAGTGGGGCAGAGGATATGAGATCAGCAGGGCAGTGTAAAAAAACAGGAATCAATAGCGGAGTGTACTGGGGGTCAACAGGTCAGAGGATAGGGGTTAGCAGAGCAGGAATCAGCAGTTTGTAGGGCAGAGTACCGATCGACTTCTGTACAACCAGCCTCTAGGAAAATGTCCACATGACCAGCACCGCCAGTTATAGCTGACAGCAGTTATCAGTGCTAAGTCTCTCTGCTGTCAGAACACAATACCTCAGTGGGAATGATTTCCGCATCCACGTCGAATGTGTAGATGTGGGAATTTAGTTTGATGTCCCCTTACATCAGAGTCCCCCTTCTTACATCAGATCTTGCAGTGTCCCCTTGCATCAGAGTCCACCAGAATCTGATGTAAGGGCCACTCTGCAGAGTCCTCTTCTTACATCAGAGTTTGGAAGAGTGATCCCTTTAAACATACTTTACATAAACCTGTATGGGGGGCAGCTGGCAGGAAAAGGCTTACAAAAGTAAAAAAAAAAAAAAATACCCTTGTTGTTGGCTCAGAAATGTGCATTCACAGTTCCAAAGTGAGCCAATCAATGAACTGCAGGGCTCAGCCTCAACTTGTGTGGTGGGGTGTGTGAATATAAGCCATGGCTAAAAAATGCCATGATGTTATTGCACAGATGCACACCCAGTTCTCTAATTGGCTGGATGCGGTACTGTGCATGCACAGTTCACAGCCCATGGCAAGGGGGGTTTTATGGCCACTTTTCTCCTGTCTGTGAACATTTATGGACAAGAGAAAAGGGCCTATTTTAACCAAACTATCTATAAATTTATGGATGGTTGGCAACACAGGGCTGGGGGTGTACAAATGCTGCCACTATGATGTTTTGCTCCATGGCTGCAGCAGGAATTATATACTCTGTTGCATTTTGTGGGCACAGTGCTTGCTGAACATGACCCATTAGAGTGAATGGAGCACCTCTGCAAGCACCCCACAACTGCATACAATGTATGTGGTTCCAGTGCACTAGTGCAGATCACTCTTCAGAGACCAATGCCCATGTAAACAGGCCCCTAAAGCCATGCTGGGGATGGGCAGAAAAAGGTGTTAAAAACAGAAGCATCACAAACCTGTCAGTTAAGACCCCAGCAGTTTAGCCAACTAGCAGATTGCCAGCCATATCCAATAGTATTAAAGTTGTCCCTGAGTGCTAACTGGACATGAAGGGTGGTGGGGGGTGAAGAAGATGGGGAGAGTTCAGCATTGGGCAGAGCTCAGCTCACTCACCCCAGGCTGGTATGGTGGCTCAGGCAGGGGCTTCAATTTTGCAGCCACCATGTAATTGCTAGCTTTAGTGCTTCAAATTTCCCACCCGCACATCTTCTCAACTACAGCCCTGGTTGGGAATTGCAGTGTGGGCAGGGAAGACACGAGGAAAGTGGTGGGAGAAGGAGGAGGTACACATCGATCTCTCCTCTCCAGTCCATGCGGGGAGGGGGAGTGTGTTGGCTGGGCTGTGTTACAGACACTGGGCTTGATAGATGCAGCCAGCTGCAGCACACAGCTTCAACTGATGGACATCGTCCACAGGTTGCCTGGGTGGGCACAACTGATATCTGGGGGGGGGGGGGGCATAGTCCACCCCAGCACCGCCCTAGATCTGGCCAGGATTCGGTAACTGATCACGGGCCAAACTGAAATTAAATGGTGCAGAATTTCAATTTTCTATTTAGCATAATGAACAGTTTTGTCCTGTAGCCTCTGAATGACAGCGGGAGGAGGACGAGATGCCAGCCTTTAGCGATTGCAGGAAGTAAATCGAGAGGATTCCTGTATATACCACCCCGCCACCCTAAGTGTAAAACAGAATGTGACAGGGAGGCCACACGGGCCCCCTGGAGCATGGGGCAGGGTCACCATTGCAACTCCTAATGCTACACCAGTGGTTTGGGGGGCATAGGGGGCTCATTTACACCTCCAAAACTGCAAATGTAAATGATCCCCTTACCGGGTGGCTTTCACACTGTAAAACACACACGGTAACCCTGATAGGCTGCTAGAAAGTTCCCAGGCACAGTGCACTTAGGATCACTTTGACAGACGCTTGTGCTACAGATGAAGCATCGGTTTCTGCAGCCCCTGCTCCCTCTGCATGGTCCGTGGGCCATGAGATGAGCATCTCTGGTGTACGGGGTTCTTTTCCCCCACAGCCACTAAAGTACATGTTTTGTCTGCAACGATGGCAGGCAGACTTGTAGTTATCAATGGAGCACAAGTGTGGTAATTAGCACACTAGTAGTTCATTGACACTTTCTCCAGTTCTCTACTCAAAGCCATTACAGAAGTACAGGCAGAGAGCTAGAGGAAGAGTCTACAGGAGCCTGACATTGCACCTGTGAGCCATTGATTATGTGTGGAATGCTTGCAGGCTCCTGTAGAAAAAAAAAACAAATACATACTTTTTTCTGCAAAAATACTTGCATTTATTTTTTTTTTTATTTTTTAAGGGTGAACCAAACTAGAAAGTGTCTGCAAAATGTTGCGCAGGTCAAAATAATAGCAGAACAAATTTAAAAGGCTCAGTTCATCTAAAACACGGGTGTCCAACCTGCAGCCCAAGACAGCTATGAAATCAAAATCATAAATTTTTTTTTTTTTTTTTCACGATTTTGTAAAAATGCATTTACACTTAAGTAAACTCATATGGCTAAAGAAAAATCTGATAGGGTCTCTTTACTTGACTTTTAAAAGTTTTATTTTCCCAAAGAAAGATATCCCGCTCTTCACAATAACACCTTATACATTTCATCGGTTTTCGGCAGCACTTGTATTTGTGAGCAAATATTTTCGAGGATAAAAGCACATGAAGGGCAATATTAGAACCGGTATCTGAACACCTTGAGAGTTCAATGAGAATTGCTGCTCAAAACTGCTGCCCAAAAATGCTGTCAAATATCACACTAATTTTGTTGCCCTTTTACTTTTTATAATAAAAAAAAAAAAAAAAAAAAAAGGAAGAAGTTTTATTACTCATATAGGTACATTATCTATATCAAATGATAGTTAACTTGTGATCTGCCTGACTTTTTCCTGCTCATCAGCTATCCTTATTGTTCGTGTATCTTATGTGTAGCCCAAGACAATTCCTCTTCTTCCCAATGTGGCCCAGGAAAGTCTAAAGGTTGGACACCCCTGATCTTATACATATATTTCACTTTTTGTAAGAGGCAGCAGAGTTAAAGGAGAAGTTCACCTTTATATTAAGGGTGTAAAATTGGCATGGGCAGGAAGGGGGTATAAGTGCCCGGTAGGCAAGTGGTTAAACATTATTTTTTGTTTTTCTACCATTAAAAAAAAAAATACTTTCATCAAAGTAGTGCAATGTTACCCCTTTTTTTTTTTTTACACTTTGAATGAAAAGTGAACATTATTGCTCTGCAATGCAAAGCTTGCTTTGAACTGTCATGAATGTGTTAAGTGCATGATAGCTCAAAATATAGTGATCTGTGATTGGCTCCAGTTGGTCACATGGTACAGGGTGCTGTGATTGGCCTCTTGTAAAAGCTGTGGACCAATCACAGCTCTCCAGGAATAGAAGAAAAGCTTTTATAAATCAGAATTCATATCAATCATATGATCACTGGGTCCCAATTACCGAGATTCTCAATCCGCTGTGTTCGGTGAACACAGCGAAAGTGGGGAGGGTTGCGCACCTACTCGGGTGTGCAGTGCCCCTCTGTGTTGGCAAAGCACCAGCAATGTACAGGTACGTCGCTGGTCCTGTAGCTGCTGCCCGCTCACAATGCACGGCTGAAAGTGGTTAAAGTAGAACTAAAGGTAACACTTTTTTCTCCATTTTGGATGAAGTAAAAAAGTAAAAAAGGGTTATAACCCAATGTCAATTTTCTTGCAATTTGTGTCCAATTGAAATGATTTCCCTTCACTTCCTATCACCAGAAGTAGTATCTCCAATGGAAAATTTCCCCACTATTATTGGCCCGGGGACACCCCAAAATTTGGTATGTTTTCACTTTTCACAAGACAAAAATAGAGGGTGATTCACCTTAATTGGGGCACAGACCACAAAAATCTGACAGGTATTTTAACCATTTCCTGTCTGCCAGTCCACAATATACTACAAAGGGGTGGCAGCTATAGGACCAGTGATAAACCGACACTACCTTTGGGAGCAAGGCTGGATCGGTTTTCATTATAATCCTATCTGGATTGATGATTAGAAAGGGCTCTCTGACTGCTAACGCCTGTAGATCACCAATTCTGACCACAATTAATGGAATCGTCTTCATTGTGATATACTTCAGGGTCACAGAATCCAAAGTCTCAAATGGAAACTTGGTTAGAGCTTGCAAGACTAGTGAAAAATCCCATTTAGAGAAGGCTTTTGCTTTAACCGGCCTGGATCTAGACAAAGCCTTGAAGAATCTAATAGCTAGGGCATCCAAGGAGATCGAGCACTCCAGAAAGACCCCTAAAAGCTGCAACATGGACTTTTAGTGTGCTGACTGCTAACATCTTGAATAACAAAGTGTAGCGCACCAGACTAATATTGCATATAAAAATAAACAATAATTAAAGTCCCATGAAAAAAAGTCTCTTCTAACACCACTGTGCAATG